ATGGTCCTTGTGCCAATTAAACATGAACAGGAATCCCCAATTTGAGGTGTGATAAAGAGGAGACTTTGTTTGGTGTAAACATCTCGGTTGTGAGAATGGCTCAGCACTGGAATAGCTCAATAGTGGCACAGTTCAATTGTGAAGCAGCACAGCGTGATTGTGAGGAAGCCCTGGGGCTGAGATGGCCCTGGGTTTGAGGCCCCCCTTCAGCTACAGAGCTCTGCTCTGCTTCTCCTGCTCTAGTGCCTTGCCAGAATGCTCGTTTCCAGAAAGGGAAAAGCAATCTTCAGTCTTCAGTGGAAAATAAATGTGTGTTTCTGGACTTAGAGGGAAGCTAACTAATACAGACAGAAGTCTTCACCCCTTGTCCCTGATTGGTCTGTCTTCATGCAAATGAAGACTCCAAATCCTCAGAATTTGGTCCAAAAATCACTGTCTTAATTGGTCATAATGGTGCTGCTCTGACTGGTCGGTAAAAATGCTGATGGGCCTATACTTATGCAGCTCTGATTGAACAAGAAAAGTCTCAGTCATTTGGTTGAAATACATCTAGGCACACCTTTATTAGGGCTGGCTCAGGTGGAAGGAACACAGTATAGACAGTATGGGGCTCTCCCTAAAGTGGGGTTTGTGTGAGAAACCCCTTTTTAGAAATGGCTGCTAAGCTCTACTTCTAAATTTATACCCAGTTGGCCACTAGAAGCCCTTCTTAGTAGGAATCTCCTTCCCCAGGGTTCATATATTCCAGTCTTCCCAATACCTTGAGCCTTAACTGGAGATGTAGTCCTGTAGTAGGCAGTTAGGTTGAATGGGAACCAAAGGCCAGGTCCTGAGGGTCACCATGGAGCAATGGGGAAAGCAATGGGGTAAAACTGGGGTGGGTCTTTGCTCCCCCAGGGTGACTTTTCTTCCCATAGCATATTGCTGATTATGCAGTTTAGTCCCTCTGCTGACCTTTCCCCCCCTGACCTGTTAGTAGACCTCCTTACAGGAGGAACAAGGGAGCTGGAGAAGAACCTCATATGGCTCCCATGCAAGCCCTTACATCACCACTCTTTTAAACATTCAGTCCCTAGGCCAACGAGGTTCTGGCCCACATCAAATAATCTTAAAATTATTTGAGTCCGATTACCACAGGGATAGAGTTTTGGCCAAACTAGATGTCTAGATGTCTAGAGATGACATCTAGGCCTCAGTTGTGTTCCAGCTCCGGGCTCAGAAAAGTAGCAAGGCCAGGTGGGGATAGGTCATGGCTGACATCAGGACTAGCTATGGTGTCAACCTGCCATGGCACTGACCAATCGGTGGAGATGATGACCCTGACAAGACACACCTGGAATGCTGATAAATATTCTGTTGAGGTCCTCCTCTGACACTTCTCTTAAAATCTCCACCTCTAACACTCTTAAGACAAAGGACCCAGCACGCTCTCTCTCTCAAGCATGCCCTTGCCTTTCCCTACCCTCTTCTTTCCCCAGTGTGAGCTTGCTCTCTCCCTCTGGAGCACACCTGTACTTTTCCCCTTCTCCTTCCCCCAGGTGTTTTCTTTGCCTTTCTTTCTGCTAAGCTCTAAAGGGCCTTCTTTAAGGACTTCTGTAAATTGTTTCCTGAGCCTATGCAGCCTAACTGGCTGACTTCTTCCATGGCTCACTTTTTCTACCTCTGTGACTTTCTAAATAAGTTTTTGTTTATATTTGAGTCTTGGCTCTGAATTCTTTCTTAGCCAAAACTCAAGGAATGGGATCTCACACCTGGTGCTGTTTCACTGTTAACAGTTCTGGAGGTAACCATTGGGTCCTTGTGGGAGAGATCATGGAAGTCTTATTATGTGTCAGGATCAGAGCAATTGACTGGACAAATGGCTATAGATTTAATACTCATGGTATGGGAAGAAGCTAGAACTTTTCAGAAGAACACTGAGAAATTCCAGAAAGTTTTATTTCCCACAGCCTAAAACATAAGCCTGTGACTCTGGGTTAAGAAAGGAATCGGTGTTGGCATTTATGGAACTTTCAGACTGGTTTCCTTTTGTTCATCTCCGTCCAGTTTAAACACCACTTTTCCATCTTATCTCATTGATTCTAAGAAAATACCACTGAGTTGATGAAGAAACCAGTACACTTAATTTTCAGGGGAAGACACTGTGGCTCAGAGTAGCTGTACCCAGATACTCAGGACGAGCCTGGTCATGCACCATTGTTTTCCTTCGCCAAAGGCTGTCAAAGAGCCCAGAACAGGTCCTGAATCAGAGACAAGCACGTACCCTAGCTGACTTTCCCAACTGTGTGCAAAATGTTCTCCTTGTCAGTTTCAGTGTGTTCTTTGCAAGGTGACTCACATCTTTCCTTTTTCCTCTCATTACATGACTGTGAAAGCTGGATGTGTTCCATTCATCCTGGGGCAATGTAAATTCAAATTTATGGGCTTAGAGACATTTACACCATCACTATACCCTTGAAGCATTGGAATAACGCCACACTTGTGACTGTTATCTCTCCAGAAAAGTTAGAAAAAGTTAGAGAAGTGGCCTCTCTATTAGACCTTTTACCTAGAGGAAGCACTCCCCCACTTGCTTTCTCTGCTTTTCTTCCTCTATCACACAAACTGTCTGAGTTCTGAGGAAGAATGTTAGTAGCAGAAAAATGGCACCAGTTGTTAACCTCAGTTCAGCAACCTCAGTTGTTAAATTCTGGCTAAGAAAAGAATTCAGAGCCAATACTTATATCATAAAACAAAGTTTATTTAGAAAGTAACAGAGGTAGCATGAGTGAGTCATTGAAGAAATGGTCTCAGGAAACAAGTTTCATCAAAAGAAGAGCTGTTGGATCATATGGTATTTGTCTTTCAACACCTGGCCTATTTCACTCAGCATAATGCTTTCCGGTTCCATTCATGCTGTTGCAAAGGGTAGTAGCTCCTTCTTTCTCTATGCTGCATAGAATTCCATTGTGTATATGTACCACAATTTTTTGATCCATTCATTTACTGATGGGCACCTAGGTTGCTTCCAACTCTTGGCTATTGTAAATTGTGCTGCTATGAACATTGGGGTGCATAGGTTCTTTGAAATTGATGTTTTGTGATTCTTAGGATATTATCCTAGCAGTGGAATTGCTGGGTCAAAAGGCAGGTCAATTTTTATTTTTCTGAGAAAATTCCATACTGTTTTCCATAATGGTTGTACCAGTCTGCAATCCCACCAACAGTGAACTAGGGTCCCCTTTTTCCCACAACCTCTCTAACATTTGTTGTTTGTTGCTTTGTTTATGATAGTCATCCTGACCGGTATAAAGTGGTATCTCATTGTGGTTTTAATTTGCATCTCTCTGATGGCTAGCGATATTGAGCATCTTTTCATGTGTCTCTGGATCCTCTGTATGTCCTCAGAGAAGTGTCTGTTCAAGTCCTTTGCCCATCTTTTAATTGGGTTATTTGTCTTCTTAGAGTGGAGTCATGTAAGTTCTTTGTATATTTTGGAGATTGAACCTTTGTCTGAGGTATCATTGGCAAATATATTTTCCCATACAGTTTGTTGTCTTGCTAATTTAATACTGTTTTCTTTAGCCACGCAGAAGCTTTTTATTTTGATGAGATCCCATTTGTTTATTCTTTCCTTTATATTCCTTCCTCTAGGGGACATATCAGTAAATATGTTGCTGTGTGAAATATCTGAGATTTTCCTGCCTATGTTCTCCTCTAGGACTTTAATGGTTTCATGGCTTATATTTAAGTCTTTTATCCACCTTGAATTTATTTCATGTGGTCTCGCCTTTAACAGGAAGCTAAACAACAAAACAAACAAGCAAGCAGAATAAAAACAAAAGACACTGAAATAGAGAACAGGGGGACAGTGACCAGAGGGGAGAGGGAAGGGAATTTAAGGGGAAAAAGGGGGAGGGATTTGGAGGAACAAGTATGAAAGACACAGGGACAAGAACTAAGGGGGGTGGAAATGGGAGGGAGGTGGGGAGCATGGGGTGGGATAGGCTGGGATGGGAGAAATAGACAAAACCTGTACTTGAAAAATAGTTAAATAAAAAAAGAAGAGCTGTTGGAGCTCAGGAGAAAGCAAAAGAGAGACAGGGATAGAGATGGAGTTGGAGACAGAGAGGAAGATGTAGCAGCTGCCTTGAAAGACGAAAGAGGAAGGAGAGGTCCTGGCATCCTGGTGGAAGGGGCGCCAGGGGAAAGAAATGGGTGGGGAAAGGCACGGGTGTGCTCCACGGAGATAGAGGGAGTGGCAGTGAGTCTACCATTCTGAGGGCTCTCATCTGAGGCCTCATAGGAGGCTCTCAATAGAAAACCCATCAGCTTTCCCAGTGTGTCTCCTCAGGGTCATAGTCTCCACTGATTGGTCGGTGCCAGGGCAGGGGGGCATTAGTTGTCCATCTGGTTTTGCTGCTTTTGGGGGTTCAGAGCTATAACACAGCTGAGGCCTAAATGTCATTCCCAAGGCTTAAGAGAGTGGTCCTGCAAGGGCTTGTAGTAGTTTTACCTGTTGCTTGGCACCCGGGGGGGTCACTGGGGCTCTCCACCATGGTGACCCTCTGCACCCGGCCTTTCTAACTGCTCTGTTCATGCCTTTCTAACTGCCTTCTACAAGTCCAATGTTCAACTCAACTTCCAGCTTCAGTTAAGAGGGTTTGTTTGAAAAACTATTTAACAAAATATTTGCAATAAGAGCTCTTTAAAAAATATGTATTAACGTTTGAAAAATTTTAAACAGATAGGACTAAGTAACAGATTGGTTATACTAAAAGAAAATGAGGTTTTCTTATGTAAAACAGGGATACTTAAGATGATGGCCTGCAAGAACTTTGAAAATGCATCAAATATGTTCTCATGAATAAGAGTGAAAGTAACAAGAGTGCCAACTGATGGTAGTCATTTAGTGCGTGTGAGCTACAATGTATCATAAATTTATAGCACTTCAGTGTTCAGGAGGAACAAGAGGTCAAGAAGTTAAACCACAGCAAGACATTTTTGTTAAAAGCTTTATTTTCATGTTATTTGTAAAAATACATCTGTAAGTATTTAACTTCTTTATTCCCAAACATAGAGAAATAACGCATAACTGACACTAAACAAGGCATTATGCCTTACTAGCAAGACACAAAATGTCTAAGGGATATTTAGAACATTAGTTCTCTTCAACCTGAGAAATGTTGATCACATACTGTGAAACTGTTTCAATAAATAACAATTGCCATTCTTCTCAACAATACAAAAATAGATGTACACATGACATTTCCCTGACTAAATAAACAGTGACCTATTGGCTAGAATCCCCCTTATTTATCCCCAGCCTTTACTACAGGAGATGGTAAAGCGTCTTCTCCCACCCCTGTCCCAACCAAAAATATAAGTTGCATGAAGAACATTTAAAATGCATCATCTTCAGTTATATAACAGGGCTAAACTAACTCTGATTTAACATAAAAATAACCACTTAAAAATAACAGAACAACAAATTACCAACCCTCTCAAATCTTTAAATAGTAGGTAGAACATTAACTGCTATACAAGCTCTGAAAAATAAATAAATAAATAGACACACATGTAGGTAAATAAATAGAAGTGCTCTCATAAGAAATCATCGCGCACATTAAACACAGTCCAGGTGGCCCCGGGGACCCTTTGCTTCTCTTCATTCACTCCGATCCCACCGAGGAGGTGACAGTAACCCATAAGCTTCCTTCTTCTCTCTTGATCAGTTGGTGCTGCCCCTGTGATGAGAAAATGGTTGCTTATTAGGACTCAGAAATTTGACTACATAGCCCTGTACCAACCAAGTGGTTACTACCTCTACCCTTGCTGCCCTGTGTGGCAGAAAATGCCTGGCTACTGGCCACTGTTTCCTTAGGAATAAGAAGCCTGTGGTCACAACTGCATCATTTGGTTCAAAATGCCAGAAAATGGTGGTACACTAAAAAACAACGCACATGACATCACTTAAGCCCCATAGCAAACCCCAGGAAGTAGCTCTTATTATTTTTCCCATATCATGGAAACTCAGAGATTAAGTACTTACTTTCTCGGGGCTTACAGGAATAATAAAAGGTCGTGCCTAGACATACACCTGGAGCAGGGGGTCAGTGAAAAGTCCCTTCTCCACACTGCTAAAATGTAGAGCCCTATGCTGCCCAAAAATAGGGGTCCCACTTTTCGGATCTCAAGCCACCGAGGCAAAGTGTTTCTTCTTTAATGAGCAGGAACAATCTAAGATCATCGGCCACTTAATCTTTGAGGAAGACACATTGGCCAACACTCACTGGAATGGGGAAGGCGAAGGGGATTGGTGGTAGACAGTACCGAAAATACCCTTCAGGCACCAGAGCACATTAATATTTTAAAGACAAATTTAATTGTAAGATGACTTTTCATTCCTTCAGCTAAACTATGAATTTCCCTGATACACTTTTCAGGAGGCAGATGCCAGAATCTGTCACCAATGACTTTATAGTCACATAACTCACTTGTTCAGCATCTTTTCGATCATTTTCTTAACGAAAGGGGCTTCAGGGTTGAGACAAACATCCTGTCCGTTCTTGAGCGTGGCTCTGCAGAGAGAAGGGACAGTCCCCGTGAGCCAAGTGGGCAGGAGGAGGGTCAGGGTGGAAGCATCTGAGCCTGGGAGGCGACACTTACACGACTTCGGTTTGGTCGCAGGAGGCTCCTGGGGCTGTCACCTTCACACTCTGGATGTGCTTGGGGTGAATTCCCTGCAAGGTCTGCAAACACTGGCAGCGAAGTTCATTGGCCACAGGCGCCCCTGTGGGGACAACAGACTCTGTTAGGGGAGCTGTCCCCAAGGGCGCCCACCCGTGGTCCCCTGTCCAGCCTTTGGGATCCCAGGGCTCCAAGTCTCACCTGCAGCGTGGCGGCAGGAGGTGACCAGGAGCAGGAGCAGCAGCGCAGCCCAGAGGAGTCCGGGGACACGGGGGACAGTGGGGGTCGCGGTGCGGGTCATGGTGCTCAGCTCGGTGGGTCTGGTTGGCGGTGCCTGGAGCGCGAGAGCTGGCTGGAGAGCTGGCTGGGCGAGATCTGTGGCTCCCGGAGACGGAGGAACCCCTTTTATCCATGATCCGGGGAAGGAAAGTTCGCAGCTCCCTGGGTCCGGGAAATTCCCACACCTGCGGGTCTCCCTGGGGTGCGGATGACGGCGCAGGCGTGAGCACCAGGCGTGACGACAGGGAGCGGGGAGGGTGGAGTGCGGGGCGGGGAGTGGCTTGGGGAGGGGTGTGGTATCCGCCCGTGCTGCTCGCTCAAGCTGGTCTCCAGCGTGACAAAGCAGAGTCTGGGATGATCTCTTTCCGCCCAAATCCCCAGGGGTCCAGGGGGCGAGTAGCCTCATAAGAAGGGTGTCACTTATCAGCACAGACAGGCACTTGGATGAAGGTTAGTTGTGAGGATTGGGGGAATTGCGGTGTGTGGGGGTGTGCGGAATCATGGAGAGGATTGTTTTAGCATTTATTAAGTGGCATAAATGTCTCTGGCTTGATGAGTTACCTCTGCACACATACACTCTTAAACATATCTGTCATCTCAGATTCCACATAAAATGTTCTCCTTGTTGTAAATCACACTTAGAGTCCTGTCAGGGGAGAGGGCCTGAGGAGTGTCAAAAGTTTAATTCAGAGTGTAATCAAGGACAAAGTGTCCTGATCCTGTACAGCTTCCTTCCTCTGTGAAATTCTGGAACTTCCAGGGCTCTAGTGGTCCATGAGCACTACCTCTTGGGTGCCGAGGGCCCTGATGCAATCAGGAAGTAGGGGCTGCTGGTCACTTGGGTGCTGCTGGGGGGAGGGAGGGCTGCACTGGGCTCACAGGGTCCACCTGACCCCACCCCCTTGTCCCCCCCAAAAAAGTCACAGGAATGAGGAGATGCTGTCTATGTGAGTAGGACCCTTTGCTCTCTAAACAACAAAAACATGTGTTCTGGTGAAATGGCTCAAACGACAAATCACTTATTTAATCTTTCTTTCTTTCTTTCTTTCTTTCTTTCTTTCTTTCTTTCTTTCTTTCTTTCTTTCTTTCTTTCTTTCTTTCTTTCTTTCTTTCTTTCCTTCCTTCCTTCCTTCCTTCCTTCCTTCCTTCCTTCCTTCCTTCCTTCCTTCCTTCCTTCCTTCCTTCCTTCCTTCCTTCCTTCCTTCCTTCCTTCCTTCCTTCCTTCCTTCCTTCCTTCCTGCTTAGGATCAACCCTAAAGTAAAAGCATGGGTTACTAATACCCATTTTGAGCCATGGTATTTACTTCATCCTGCAGAATTGATTGACATTATCTAATCTGCCTTTATAATCCGGCCTTGCTGCTGCATCCTCAAATCATGGAGTCACAGAAATGGGTAGTGCACTGCTGTTTTCCTAGCGCTGGCCTCTGGAAATTGAGCCATCACAACTGCCAGCCCTGCTTTATTACAATTACTGCTTCTAAGAGAATGACTCTGGCTCTGAGCAGAGAAGAATGGAGGTGTCTAAACGTGGCATTAAATCCCTGGATGCATACCCTTCTTCAGCCCAGAGTCAATGTCATCCTCCTGGTCCAGTCTCTGGTGTATTTTCATTTCTGCCTGGCTTGGGCTCCTTCCTCTGCCCTACAGAATCTGGATCTCCTTGGGGAACCGTCCCTTCTTCCTCTCAATCTGGCTGGTTCAGATAGGGTGACCCTTCTCCAAAGCTCCAGGGGGTGGCTGGTGACCCCAAGTAGTGTTACTCAGTCCTTGCAATCCTGGTCCAATACCCAGGCTTTCTGCTAGACCCTGAGATGGGCAAGTGACCTCAGCATGATCAAGTAAGAAGAACTTTCCCTGAGTCCTTTCTTTCACGAAATGGTAGGGAAAAAGTCTTGCTTGCTGCAGGGCTGTATCTGATAGGACAGAAACTCAGACCTTTGTCAGCGCTTGCCTAAAATGAAATCAGAATAGAGAAAAGGAGGCATATCTGGACTGGAGCTTATTATTGAACAGAAACTTTGAACTGTATCATTCAACTTCATTTCATCTGCTGGCCAGTCTTTCCATTTTATAGGGCAAATGATTCCGTTTTTCAGTCAGCCCATGGGAGTTACAGTTGTATAGCTGACTCCCCAAACTACTAGAGTTATCTTTCTAACCAGGAGAGTTTCAGCTTTCATTCCTGCCTTTGTGCATTTGTTTCTGCATGTTCATGATCATTTTCCCAGCATTTACAAGACGACAGTGAAGTCTGGTGGGGTTGTGGGGTGTAAAGACAGACTCTGCTACCCTCTACCTCTCAGTGCCACGAGGGAGATGAGGTACAAATAGGAGATTTTACAAAACCTGGCCATTAGGGTGGCAAATCATTCCTGAGGTATTTGGAGTGAGGCAGGGAACACACCTTTTTCAGAGTGGGTCTATGAGAGGTGTCAGAGAGGTTTTCCTGAAGGCGGTGACCACTCCTGTGACTTTTAGGGATGAGAAGCTTGTGGATAAACAGGGAGCACTGAGGTGAGGAAAACAGTCTAGGAGAGGGCCAAATGAGTAAGGACGTGGCAACTGGAAAGAGCAGGGTGAGTACTTGGAGCAGCAAGTGGCTCATGCAGCTAAAGCTCACTCTGTGAGCAGACAGAAGGCACATACTGAGGCAGAAGGAGGCACCAAGCCTCAGACAGTGGAGGCCAACTGCCTCTATGATCCTGCTCATTGCTCAGCACCCAGTAGATGTTATCTCCTCCCAAAAAGATTCCAGAGGCATCTCGAGCTGTTTCCATGACCTTCTTGCAGAGACCACACTATGACCTTTACTGCTTAGCCACCATGGGGGTGGAGGTGGTAACCTAAGGTCCAGGGTGGGTGCAGAAAATGGGGGAATGGTAGATGTTGAGTTCAAAAGAGGATTTATTAAGCACATACAACATACAAAGGACCATGGTCAGTTTGGAAAAGATGTATGGGGAATAAAGCCAAAATTACAAAGGTGAACTTTTTAAAATATCTAACCTGCATACTTTCTTCTGCAACACAGCTAGTCTTTCCTGCTCCTCCAGTGAAGCTATCCCAGTGACTCCAACCACCTGTAACTGCTCAGATTCATTTCAATGAACTCTGAGCAGCCTCCAGTCTGTTAGATTTGGGCATTATTTCAAGGCTTTTCAAATAATACATTTCAATACACACTTTGTATTTTCATTTTCTTAAGATTATTTTTAAACTTTCCTGGAAGTACTAATGAGTAATTAGGTGACATCTAATATAAACCAAAGAGAAAAGGAATAGCCAAATGACAAATGGATGTCAAGACATAAATATAGAAAATGAGGAAGTGTCTTCATTAAAATATTCTTTATCACACTTGGTTCTAAGAGGCACGAAAAGAGTGTGATGATCCTGTGTTGATGTTTCCTGTGTTATGAAAGTAAAATTTGGGAAGTTGAGAGATGAGTTATAAACCACAGCGAACATGTCACACAGTGAAATATGGAAACTTATTTCAGCTTGGACGATTACAAATCATAAAAAAAACTTGATCAAGGAATAACCTCTATAACATTCCCATATTTTGAAATTTGTAAATGAATTCTTTATGGCCATATATGTCTCTCTTATAAAAATGTTCCTGCGTATTGGGAAAAATAAATGTGAATCATGCAATTGTTGGGTGAAGTGCCTATGTACATTGCTCAGACCAAGATGGTTGGTGGTGTTGCTTAATCTTCTACACTCTTCACTGCTTTGGCTACTAAGTATTTAAAGAAGTTTACTAGAATCTTTTAGCTTCTCTCCATTTGCTTTATATATTTTGATCAATGTTATTAGGTTCATAAAATATTAGAATTGTTTCTGTCTTGTGAAATTTCCCCCTTTGTATTTTGAATTTGCCTTCTTTATCTCTAAGACCACTTTTTCCCTTATAGCCTAATAAATTATCGGGCCTTAATATATCAATTATTGACCAATTTGTTAATATTTATATTAATAATAGATTATTAATAGGTAATCAGTATACTAATATAGCCATGTCAGGATTCTTTCACTTAGTTTCAGCATGAGTAACACTCAATTCTCTTAATTTCAAGCAATGTGAGTTTTAAAGTGTGTCTTCTTAATGCAGTGTGCATTTTTGTCTTATTTGTGTAGTCAAAATTTTTGACTTTTAATTGGAATGCTTGTTTCATTTAAATTGGTTTCTCTTTTCCTCTCTTTTTTTATTGTTGTTCAAGTACAATTATCTCCCTTTCCCCCCCACCACTCCCACCCACCCAAGGCATCCCCACCTCCCACCCTTCATCCCACCCCCCTTTGGCTTTGTCTATCAGTCCTTTATACATGTTCCATTTAATTATATTTCATTGTGTATGCTACTACACTTGTCACAAAGTTCCCCCTTTGTCCCCTCCACACAGTCCCTCCACCCCTTCTCCCTCAAGCAATCCCCGCACTGTTGTCCATGTCCATGGGTCCTGAATATAAGTTCTTTGGCTGCTCTCTTCCCTATGCTATACTTTCCACCCCATGACTATTCTGTAATTACCTAGTTGTACATCTTAATCCCTACACCTTTGGGTTTCGGTCTACTATCTTGCTATTCTACATGTCCTGTCTTTATTGAAAGCATTTTCAAGTTGAGATAATTTTAGATTTATGAGAAATGTATACAGATATTACAGAGAATTGCTGTGGACCTCTGCCCAGTATTTCCTACTGCTGATATCTTACATAATTATAATACATTATTCAAGACATGAGATTAACTGGGACATTGGTATTGCCTAAATTCTAGTCTCTTAGTACAATATCACGAATTTTTCACTGTTGTCCGTTTGCAATTCTGAATCCAGCCCAGCATTCCACACTGCGTTTAGTCATCACGTGGCCTTTGTCTCCTCTGAGCTCTGACAGACCCTCAGTATTGTCTTGTTTTTCCTGAAGTGGACAGTGTCCAAGAATTTGTGTTGGGTATTTTGTAAAACGTTCCTCAGCTTGGCTTTCTAGGGTGATTTCCCATGATCCTCCCTGAGTTCTGGGTTTGGGGAAGAACGTCCTGGTGATGTGGTCCCTCCCATTCCTGGCATTTTGGGGAGGACACAATATGGACCCATTCACAGGACACAACTGGTGATAATAACGTGCATCACATGGTTAAGGTGGCCTTTGCCAAATTCTCCC